GCCCGAGGACCCGAGGAGCGATCCCCGATCGACCGACGACGATCGACGAAGGACCCGACGACGATCGACGAAGAACCCGACGACGATCGACGAAGGACCGACGACGATCGACGAAGGACCCGAAAACGATCGACGAAGGACCCGAAAACGATCGACCGAGGACACGACGACGATCGAGGATCCCTCGACCGACGACGATCAGGAACGATCCTGGCGTCTGATCTTTTTCGCGCCGGGCGTTCTCACCCGCTGTCGGGCCCCAGCACCATGACCGATCGACCTGGCTCGAAACATGCAGCAGACAGATGAGGCCCACGGCTCTGGTCGAACATTTTCGCTAAGCTTAGCGGCCTCCTAGATCGGGTCGGGCTAGACGGGGTCGGAGGGTCGCGCCGCATCGCCGACAATCGGCGACGCATCGCCGACGCACCTGCGACGCATCGTCGACGTCGGCGATGCATCGGCGACGTCGACGTGAAGCAAATCGTGCCCCACATCGAGCCGCATCGGCGATGCATCGGCGATGCCGCGGGATCCTCCGACCACATCTACTCCGACCCCATCTAGGAGGCCTAGAAACTTGCAGCCTCTGGCAGAGGCCCGCGGGCAGAGGACTGCCAGTTGCTGGTGAGCGGCCTTTCCACCCGTCACGCGTTCCGAACAAATGCGACCAGCTAACGCACTTGCCACGCCAAGCCGCCAGCTCCAAACACCGACGCCACCCCGATCCCCGCATCCGTGCCAGGCACCCTCTCAACGACGCCCCCTTCCGGCGTAGAACCAATAAAACCCTTTGTGTTTATTTGTTTTTTCCTGTTCTGATCTGCGCGAGGCCAGAACGCCAGAACTCAAGAATCCCAGACGCCCCTCGCGACGGGAGGTTTGGGCGATCTTCGGCCGCCCGGGGCCATCGGCGGGCCCCAGGACCGGCAACAAAACGGCTCGGGATAAGACATCGATCCAGAGGAATGGGTCGAGGACTCCGGGGATCTGCTTAGGAGGCAACTACTGGGAGGTCTTCGTCGGAAGGAGAAAGGAGGATGAAGCCCCATTGGGGTACTGCTGCGCCGGATTAGGCAGCGGACTCAACGGGATTCAGCCGGATGAAACCGCATTCATTCGGACTGCGCTAGAACAAGCGGGACTCACCCGGATTTCGGACCAGTAAAAATCAGACTTCGACCTCCCAGGAATTACATCCAAAGGTCGATTCTCGACGGACCGGCGACGACGAGGATGGCTCGATCGAGGGGTGGAGAATCGAAGATCGATCGATCGAGGATGCCGACGAGGCTCGATCGAGGATGCTATCGATCGATCGATCGATCGATCGATGGCTCGATCGAGGGGCGACGACGAGGATGCCTCGATCGAGGGCCGTTTCTCGATCGAGGGGTGGAGAATCGAAGACCTCGGGCGCTCCTGGCCGTGCTAGGTCCCCGCCTGCGCCCGGAAGAGGGGGCGTCCAGAGGAGGAGGGGGAGGGGGAGGAGGAGGAGGAGGAGGAGGAGGAGGAGGAGGAGGGGGAGGAGGAGGAGGAGGAGGAGGAGGAGGAGGAGGAGGAGGAGGAGGAGGAGGAGGAGGAGGAGGGGAGGAGGAGGAGGGAGGGGAGGAGAAGGAGGAGGAGGAGGAGGAGGAGGAGAGGAGAGAGGGGAGGAGGAGGAGGGTGTAGGAGGAGGAGGAGAGGGAGGGAGAGGGTGGGAGGGGGACGGGAGGAGAGGAGGAGGAGGAGGAGGAGAGGAGGAGGAGAGAGAGAGGAAAGGGAGGAGAGAGAGGGGGAGAGGGAGGAGGAGGAGGAGGAGGGAGGAGGGCGGAGGGGAAGAGGAGGAGGAGGCAGGGGAGGAAGAGAGGGGGAGGGGCAAGCTAGTACGCTCGCGTCATACCTGACGTCCCTCCCTCCCATCCCTGACCATGGCGTAGATCTCTTTTCTATTCGCACAGTCGGAAGTCGCAGCATGGCGTAGCATCATATGGCATATCATAGTGTTGAATACTAACGCGTAGCATGACATAGCATGGCGTGGCGACGCCCCAAAGTGGGGGGGCGGCTTCTGCGGCCCAACAGATCATCGAGTCGACACCGAATGTGCAATCACTTCCGATGGTTTCTTCGGGAGGCCATTGTTTAGATGTTGGAGCTTGTTTGGAAGACCCAAGACCATGCCGTGGCATCGCACTGGAAATAATGACGCCAGCGCTGCAGCGGGAGCAAGATTCGAAACGAGCGGTAGCCCGAAAATGAGGCCAGCGCTTCAGCGAGAGCAGCTTTTTGAACAAAAACCCAAGCGCGGAAGCGCGGAACTGAGGACGCGTAGCCTGACATTGCATGGCGTGGCGACGCCCAAAAGAAGGGGGGGGGTTCTGCGGCCCAAAAAATCAACGAATTGGCTCTGAATGTGGAATCACTTCCGATGGTTGTTCGGGGGTGTATGTTCTAGATCATGGGGCCTATTTAAACAGATTTGAAAAGACCGAAAACGGGAAAATAATGGCGCCACTGCCGTGGCATGGCACTGGAAACAATGACGCCAGCGCTGCAGACGCAGAAATGAGGACAGCGCTGCCGCGGGAGCACGATTTGGAAGGCGCGGCAGCCCGAAAATTAAGGCAGCGCTTCAGCGAGAGCAGCATTTTCAACAACAAACCGAAGCGAAAACCCGTTTCCCTGGAATCATGTAGAAACTCAGTGCGCTGAAGGGGGTCGGCCATTTCCCGGACGCCACCAGGGGAGAGAGTAGCATTCATATTGTTTAATGGTAGAGGAGGAAAAGGAGGAGGAGGGGGAGGAGGAGGAGGGAG